AGGAACGGGCAAGGGTGAGGGAGGATGATGGAGCACGAGAGAGTAACAGGAGGCGGGCTAGGAGCAGAATGCACGTGGCAGAACCAGACGGGCAGATAGGGCGGGTAGACCCTAACAGGCATGTCGGGGAGGCGGGCCCAAGCGGCCAGGTCGAGCAGGCGGGTTGCTGAAGCGTGCGCCCTGCATGAATCGCAAGGAACTGTCGAGCGACAGCGCGATTCCCGAATAGATCGTAAGGACATCCACAGCGAGAGCGTGATTCCTGAGTGTCGAGGGCGCGGCGTCTGAATGCATTGCGAGGAAGTCCCATGGGAGAGCGCGATTCCTGTATACATTGTGAGGAAGTGTCAGGCGGCAGCCGCTGTTGTTGTAAACTGGGGATCGAAGACAGAATTCTGAAACCCAAGATCTTCCCGAACAACAGGAAAGGGTGCGAACCCTGGGAAGGGCACTCCACTTGAAAAGCACAATGTGCCCCGGATGGGGGGATCAACAATAATAATTGCGCATCTGCGGGCACTCAGCAACCATTTTAAGACTGTTCGCTCCTACCTGCTCGCGTGCCACTCAACGTGTACATCCCGATCCCTCGATACCCGCCCTCTTCCGTTTTCGATCGTAACCCCTTGTGGGTAGATCTGACATATTTGCAACATGTATTTCGTGCAGCACTTAAGGCAGGGGGGAAAAGGACGGATGGAAGGAAGGCACAAGTGGAGAAAGGAGGATGGAGCACGAGAGAGAGAGAGAGAGAGAGAGTAGCAGGAGAGGGGGCTAGGAGAAAAAAACACGTGGTAGAACCAGACGGGCAGATAGGGCGGGTAGACCCTAATAGGCGGGTCGGGAAGGCGGGCCCAAGCGGCCAGGTCGAGCAAGTGGGTTGCTGAAGCGTGCGTCCTGCATGAATCGCGAGGAACTGTCGAGCGACAGCGCGATCCCAAAATTGGTCGCGAGGACATCCACAGCGAGAGCGTGATTCCTGAGTCTCGAGGGCGCGGAGTCTGAATACATTGTGAGGAAGACCCTCGCGCGAGCGCGATTTCTGCATACATTGTGAGGAAGTCCCGCGCGAGAGCGCAATGTGGGGAATACACTGTGAGGAAGTATCAGGCGAGAGCTGCTGTTGCTGTGAACTGGGAGCCAAAAGCACAGTTTGGTGGCACCTTGGTTTCCTCTTTGTATAAAATACTGGGTGCGAGCCCAGGGAGAAGCACTTCACTTTAAAAATACAACGGTTACCGGTCAGGGGGTCAACAACACATAGTCTTTAGAAATGAGAATTCAACAGCAATAACAGCAGCAGCAGCAACCATAATGTTATGACTGTTCGCTCCTGTACGCTCGCGTGCCACTCAAGACGTTTATCTTGGACCTTCGGTACCAGCCCTCTTCGTCTTCGATCGCACCCCCTTTGGAGTATATCTTCCTTGCTTGCCACGTGCTCCTAGCGCAGCATCTAGAACAGGGGAAGAGAGGACGGATGCAAGGGGGAAGGAGAAGGATGGAACATGAAAGAGAGAGGCACGAGGGGATCAGAAACAGAAAAAGCGTGGCAGAACCAGGCGGGCAAATCAGGCGGGCAGACCCTAGCGGGCGGGTCGGGAAGGCGGGCCCAGGCGGCCAGGTCGAGAGGACGGACCGCTGGGGCGTGAGTCTTGCATGGGTCGCGAGGAAGTATCGAGCGGTAACGCGATTCTCAAATATAGCGTGAGGTGAGAGAGGCCAAAGCGAGAGCCTCATCCCTGAGTGTCGAGGGCGCGGCGTATATACAACATAACGGGCGTCAGGGGCCCCGGGCCCTGGGCCCTCCACTTTTTCAAAACTCCCTTTCAAAATTGCCCCCCCCCCCCCCGCAACCCACTTTCGTCCCCAGCGCTGGCGGACCTTCTCGAACGCTCCAGGGCGTTCCTTGCGCCTCCAGGGCACCCCTCGGCGCACGCAGCGGACGCCCACAGGCCGCCAAGACGGCCCGAGAGCGCGCCAAGCCGCCCAAAATGGTCCCATGATGGCCCAAGACGCTTCCAAGAGTCCCCAAGAGCGTTCCGAAGGGACCTCCAAGATCGCCCCAAGAAGCGAACATCATTGATGTTCAGTGTGCTTTTCTATGCTTTTCGCGCATTCCCGTTTTCAAAAGTCCGACGTTCCAAGACTGCCCAGGAAGCTTCCAACATCGCTCCCAGAAGGACCAAGAGGCCCAAGAGGCCCCCAAGCCGACCCAAGAGGGCCCCCAAACAGCCCAAGAGGCGCCCAAGACGGCCCAAGAGGGCCACGAATCGACATTTCCAATTTTCCGCCCCAAGAGGCCCCCAGGAGGCTCCAAGAGGCCCCAGAGAAGCCCCCAAAAGGCCCAAACGAGGCCCAAAAGACGCCCCAAGAGGCCCTAAAACGGCTCCCTGGAGGCTTCAAAATTGTTTCCAAAAGGCCCCCGAGAGTCACCCACGATGTCCGAACGAACTTCCAACAGGCCTCTAGCCCACAACTCATGAACGGTGGCGGGATGGACCGAAAGCACCAAGAGGCAACACATTTTGATTTCCAATACGGTGTTTCAGCGACTTTCGTGGTTTCGCTCTGCGCGGATCCAATTTTCTCAGACAGCCCAAGAGCCCCCCAAAACTTTTCAAAACGGCCCAAGAGGCCTCCGACAGGGCCCCAAGACGGCCCAGAAGGCCCCGACCCTAATACAGCCCAAGAGCGCCCCAAGAGAGTTCCAAGAGGGGCGCAAGAGGCTGAGCTCGAACTCGCAGCGCGAGCCCGCCCCCCGAAGACGGCCCCCGAGACCGCTAGCAGGGGCCCCGGCAGGCTTCCAAGAGGCCACAGGAGCGCGCGTTGGGAATACATTGTGCGGAAGAAGCATCAGGCGGGAACAGTTGTTCTTGTAAACCGGGGGCCAACAACACAGGTTGGTGGAACCTCAGCTTTCCTTATAGAAAGAAACAGGGTGCTTGCCCGGGATAAGCACTTGACATGAAACATATCACGGTTACCTGTCAGGGGATCAACCAGATTTGTTTTTAGAACTTAATACTCAACAACAACAGCAGCAACAACAACAGCAGCAACAACAACATCGACATCAACATCAAGATCAACGCCAACAGCAACAACAACAACCGACGTGTATTTCGGGCAGAAGCGTGCGTTTTGCATGCGTCGCGAGGAGCTCTCGAGCGATAGCGCGATTCCCAAACAGATCGGTCCCACGCGAGAGCGCGATTCTGTCATACATTGTGAGGAGGAACTATCAGGCGGGAGCCGCTGTTTTTGTAATCAGGGGCCAGGGGCGCAGTTTGGTGACACCTCCGTTTCCTTTGTAAAAACAACAGGGTGCGAGCCCCAGGAGACGCACAGCAAAATAACAATACAAAATGGTTACCGGGTAGGGGGGATCAACAACAAGTATTCTTTAGAAGTGAGAACTCAACAACTGCAATCATGTCAAGACTACTCTATCCTGTCTGCTCGCTTGTCATTCAACGCGTGTATCCGAAGCCCTCGATACCCGCTCTCTTCGCATTCGACCGTACCCCCTTGTTGGTATGCTTTTCTTTTCTGTAGCGCGAATTTCGTGCAGCCCCTCACGCAGGGGAAGAGAGGACGGATGGAAGGAAGGGACAACGGGGAGGGAGGAGGATGGAACACGATAGAGAGCAGCAGGAGGGGGCTATGAGCAGAAAGCGCGTGGCAGAACCAGACGGGCAAATCGGGCGGGTAGACCCTAACGGGCGGGTCGGGAAGGTGGGCCCGGCGGCCAGGTCGAGAAGGCGGGTTGCTGAAGCGTGCGTCATGCGTGAATCGCGAGGAACTCTCGAGCGATAAATTCCAAATACATCGTGAGGAAAGCCGCAGCGAGAGCGTGATTCTTGAGTGGCGAGGGCTCGGCGTCTAAACACATTGAGAGGAAGTCCTACGCGAGAACGCGATATAATGTGTCAGGAAGTCCTTCGCGAGAGCGCGATCTGGGAATACACTGTGAGGAAGTACCCGGCGGGACGGCGGGACCGTTGTTGTTGTAAACCGGGGGACAGGGGCGCAGTTTGGTGGCATTACAACACCTGTGGGAAAGTACAACGCCTACCGCGCAGGGGGATCTACACTAATGGTTTTTGTTGAATGCGAATTCAACCACAAGAACCACAACAACAACAACAACCATCATTTCAATATTGTTCGTTCTTACCCGTTCGCGTGCCATTCATCACGTCTATCCCAAACCCTCGATACCCGCCCCTTTCGTTTTCGATCGTACCCCTTTAGAGGTCTATCTTTTTTACCCGGGTGCTGAAGCGTGCGTCCTGCATGAATCGCGGGGAAGTCTCGAGCGACAGCGCGATTCCCAAAAATACATCGTGAGGGAATCCACAGCGAGAGCGTAATTCCTGAGTGTCGAGGGCGCGGCGTCTGTCTGAATTATTCGCGAGGAAGTCGAACGCGAGAGCGCGATCCTTGATAACTTGTGGGGAACTCCCGCGCGAGAGCGCGATTCGGGAAGTATCCGGCAGCAGCCGTCTTTGTTGTAAACCGGGGACCAGGGGGTGGCACATCGTTTATCTTTGTCAGGAGAAGCATTTGACGAAACATACAATGGATTCCTCGAAAGGGGGATCCACAAGTTCTTTCGTCGGAGCGTTGCATCGCCCCCCGCGGCCCTCGCCGCGGGCGAGGGGTGGAAATAAAGATGGTCATCTCTGAAGAGGAGGTGTGCCAAAGGGAGGGGACCCCTCCAGGATGGGGGCAGCCGGGGCCTCCAGCATCCCCTCGACGGGGCGATGGGAAGGAGAGCGACGGAACGGCGACGAGGGAGGCCTCCTCCTCCTCTTCCTCCTCCTCCTTCTCCTTCTCCTCCTTCTCGTTCCCTCTCTCCTCCCTCCCTCCTCCCTCCTCCTCCCTCCTCCTCCCTCCTCCTCCGTCCCTCCTCCGTCCCTCCTTGCTCCCTCGCTTCGCCCCCTGCTCCCCCTGCCCATCCTCCCCTCGGCCTGCAGTCGGCCCGCCGCGCGCAGGCGCTCGCGGCCGCGTCGCAGTGGCTCTCCTCCGACGCGCGCGATCGCAAACGGGCGCGCCGCCTGAAAGGAGGGGGGGATCACAGGCGAGGGGGGCGGATCGGGCAGGTCGGGCGTCTGCGGCCGGGAAGTCTGGGCACTCTGCGCATGCCGTGGGTTCACCCTGGCCTGCATGGGGTATCCCTGTCACGCCGACATGAGTTACCAGACATCAGATACCCCGCGCGGACGCCTTCCCGTACGGAAGGCGTAAGTTACACCGCGCGGCCAACATGAGTGATTTGACATCAGTTTACCCTACCTTGCATGAGGTATCCTTCACGGACAGAGTCCCGGGCATGAGCTACCCTGCACGCATGCAAGGCCGTTTTCTTGAGGAGGAGGGGGGCGAAAGGAGGCCTCGTGCCAGGGCGCGGCCTGCCAAGAAGAGAGAGCATTCCAGCGGGAGTCGTGTCAATGGGAGTCGATTGGGCGATCTTGAGGATCATGTTGGCCCGATCGGCACAGTGGAGCCTTGTTAGACCCGCTGAGCGAGTCGTGAAGAGCGGGGAAGAGGAAGAGTGGGGAGGAGGAGGAGGAGGAGGAGGAGGAGGAGGAGGAGGAGGAGGAGGAGGAGGAGGAGGAGGAGAAGGAGGAGGAGGAGGAGAAGGAGGAGGAGGAGGAGGAGGAGGAGAAGGAGAGGGAGGGCGGCTTCTACGTGACCACCTGCCAAGCATGAATACCTTATGCTGCTGGTGCAGATTTGATGCTTAGCACCCAGCAGACCATGAAGGGCACCCAGCAGGGGTCTGCAGAGCACAGATATAGCAATGGGCTTGTTGAGGGCTACGGCCAGGGCAATGGTTTGGCCGAGCAGCTCACCGGCAGGCTCATCTCAAGGTGACGAGCTTTCTTTGGGCTACTGGCGCTCCTGCCCGCATTGCTTGGCTCTCCTCGTCCTCCCCCTCCTCCTCCTCCCCAGCCTTCTCATCAATGCGCCCCGCTTGTGCCAGAGGGTCGGAGCGGCGGGCGAGAGAGCACTGCTGCCCAGGTGCCGCCCGGGCTCGCGACGCTGGCCTAGCTCTTGTGGGGGAGGAGGAGGAGGAGGACGACGACGACGGCGACGATGAGAACGAGGAGGGAACGACAGGTACGAGTAGGAGGATGGGAGGGCGACGAGAAGCAGGAGCAGGACGAGGAGGTCGAGGAGGAGAGGGACGAGGACCGAGTTTTGGATCGGGAGGACGAACGAGGAGGAGGAGGTGCAAGAGGGGAAATAAACGGGGGAAGGGGAAGAAGGAGGGAAGGGGAAGATGATGAGGCGGAGGAGAACGACGAATTGCTTTTCTTTCGTCCAGTGGATGCAATCAACTTAGAGGAGGAGTACGGGGGATCAGAATGAGAAGGAACGAGTAGGAAGTGGAGAGAGACGAGGACGGGGACGACCCCGGCAGTTCTGCCCCAGATCGCCTCGTCTCCGATTCAGGCCCGATCTGCAGCTGCGGAGGCCCACTGGGGCCAGGAGCTCAAGAGTTCAAGCACGGCTTCCCGGTGACAACATTACAACACATTATGTTGTTTCGACTCCGTGATATAACTCGTAGTCGTAGTGTGTGGTAATACGTTTGATCTTATCATCCATAGTAGTAGTATTAGTGTTCGTTATCGTCTTATTTGTCGTGGCCGTATTCCCCGTTCCGCGACTATAAATATTAGTATTCTTGTGAATATTACTGTTATGATTCTTAATATGAATAATAGTGTTATTATTATTGTTCCCTACCTAGGCTCTGCCTAGAAGGGTTCTTACTCTCTGAGCTTAAAGGGGCTGGGCAGTGGGGCTCGCCCCGGGCGGTTCCCCCAGGATCCGCCCCGCGGTTCCCCCAGTTACGTCCCCTTAGCTTAGCGTTGCTTATATCATCTTAACTTAGCTTGTTTCATCTTAGCTTAGCTTAGCTTCATCTTAGCTCAGGTGTATCTTAGTTTAGCTTACCTTCATCTTAGCTTCGCTGAGCTTTAGCATAGCATAACACAGCATAGCATAGCATAGCGTAGCATATCATAGCGCAGCATATCATATCATAGCATAGCCCGGCATAGCATAGCATAGCGCAGCATAGCACAGTATAGCATAGCATAACGTAGCCAAGTGTAGCATAGCATAGCGCAGCATAGCATAGCATAGCATAGTATAGCATATCTTAGCATAGCACAGCGCAGCATGGCATAGCATAGCATAGCATAGCGCAGCATAACATGGCATATCATAGCATAGCACACCATAGCATAGCGCAGCATAGCATGGCATAGCATAGCATAGCATAGCATAGCATGGCAACGAATGCTGGTTTCCTAGGGGCTCCAACTTCTAGGTAGGGTCGCACTGGAGTAATTGTTATCATTAGTATTATTATTCTTATTCGTGCTCTGCTCCGTTCTCTTCCCCTCCACCCGATTCTGGGCCATAAGTTCGGCCATGTTGGCAGGAAAGTGATCTGCACCATTGCGTGGCACATCTTGCCGGTAGCACTGTGGCTGCACGCTGGCCTCACCGAGATCGTTGCTTGGAGGTGCCCGCCCCCTCTCCCCCCTGAAAAACTGTGCTGGAAATAACAGAGAGGAAAACACACTTGTAGAAGAACGCTGATCTCACGTCCGCATTTTTACGCACTGCCAGACGCAGCACAAGAGTGCTAGCTACGCTCGTGTCCGGGCTCTTGATGCGCACACTCCCAGGGCGAGGGGCCAGCGTGCAAGAGCTGAACTGGGCGTTAGCAGGGGCACCTGCTCGCCGCGCCGATCTCGCACACTTGCTACATTTCCTATGGGGGGGGGCATGGTCCCGGTAGAAAGACGGATTACCGACCTGAACGTCCAAAAGTGCCATGGGTCGTGGCGCTGCTAGGTAATTGATATCAGGCATACGGGGCAAGTTGGGCAACGGCGGAGACGCGCTTGGGAAGCAGCCTCATAACTCCAAGATGTGGCAATGCGTGCTAACCCTCGTGGGTGCCCTTTCTGAGTGGCGATGCGCAAACGACCACACTCCTCCCAAACAGGCAGCACAACCAATTGAACAAGACCATGTACAGCCAGTTCGCGCACAACCCACAACGATACGGCCAGCTTGCGACTTAGCAGCAAGCGTACACCAAATGATCTGGGGCTGAGCTCTGTCCAGCTTGCAACCGTTGAAGCCCTTTTCCGTTCCTCCAATTAGATGCTCAGAAAGGTATTGTAGTGGCCTCCGGCCAGTGCCGCCGATCCGGGGCGCTCCAGATGGAGATGGTGATGATCCCGGCCCCCCCCCACCCCCCCTCCTCTCTCCTGTCCCCCCCCCTCTCTCCTGTCCCCCCCCCCCTCTCTCCTTCCCCCCCCCCTTTCTCCTCTCCACCCCACCCCTCCTCTCCTGTCCCCCCCCTCTCCCCCCCCTCTCTCTCCTGTCCCCCCCCTCTCTCCCCCCTCTCTCCTGTCCCCCCCCCCCCCCCTCTCTCCTTCTCCCCCACCCTCCCCTCTCTCCTCTCCTGTCCCCCCCCTCTCCTGTCCACCCCCCCCTCTCCCCCCCGCCCCTCTCTCCTGTCCCCCCCCCCCTCTCTCCTGCCAACCTCCTCCTCTCTCCTGTCCCCCTCCCCCCTCTCTCCTGTCCCCCCCTCTCTCCTGTCCCCCCCCCCCCCTCCCCTCCCTCTCTCTCCTGTCCCCCCCCCCTCTCTCCTGGGGGCTGGCAGGGGGGGGGGGGGGGGGGAGGTGCCGAGCACTGAATTCGTCAATTAATTACGCCCCCCCACCCCCCCTCCCCCCTCCTAAGCAGAGCTAGAGCTCATGTTGAAGCAGAGCTTCAGCTTAGACTTCTTGGACTCACACGCAGGAGCGGCGGATTTGGGGTATGAGCGCTGCCAACGATTCAGGCGCCTTGGGACAGGCCCACCATCAACCACCGTTCGCGACGCCACAAGAAATCCCCACGTGTTGGGAGGGGGTCAAAGACTGGCCCTGGCAAACGGGCTGATGCGCTTTGCCGCTTCGCCTGGCAACTCTCGGACCTGAGAAAGCGCAAGCTGCTTTTAATAATCCCTAGGTCGAGGGATGTCCCTGGCTTGGAACGCAGACCTTTCGACCTGTCGATATGTTTGTGTTGTAGAGGATGGGCTTGCGGTGCTGCCATCTCCTTTTCTTGTCCCTTGCTCGAAGGCGACTTGACGGATTGCTGGCGCGAGGGCCCACGCCGTGCATTGAGCCATGCATTGTGCAGACGCCGTTTGCATTAAACACAACATCAGACGCCGTGCACAAGGCAGCGCGCAGCTTTGATTCATTGCGTATCGTATCGTGCTCGTCGACGCAGGTGGAAGGGAATTGTTGATCGATCTGTTCGTTTCCGAAGAAGGTACAGAGGCAGCAGGCATTAAACGCCGGCCTCCTCCTTCTCCTCCTCTTCATGTTCCTCCCTCGCCCAAAGCCCCTCCAAGTGCTTCACACCTCTGCTAAAAAAAACACCGGGCGAGCCTGCCATGTTCGCAGGCCCTTCCCTTCAGTCGTGACGCAGCGCAGTCACCAGCCCGCCTGCTCTGCCTGCGAACGCTTGATCAGATCGTGCGGTCAAGCGGTTGCAATCGGCGAGGTGGCCGACCAACCTCCATTGGCCGCCATGCTCCCCCAATTCCCCCCTACCCCTTTCCTCCCCGCCTGCCCCCGTCCCTCCCTCTTTTGACTCGTCCTGCGCCCTTTCTGTGTCTCGCCCTTGTCTCCCATCCTGCTCACCCTGCACCCCTCCTCTTCATCTCCCTCCTCTCCGTCTTCCCCCCCCCACTCCCCCCTTCCCTTCCGCTGCCATTTTGGCTCAAGACAGATTTGGCTCAAGCCAGGGCTTCGCCCATGAAGTGCTCAGGGCGGTTCCAAATGCGTGTGCCGACTCGAGCGCCACCACGGACATTATCTTTGTAGTAATGAAACGCTCGGAATCTTGCCTCGTTTTGCTCCTCATGGCGATATCCTGGAAATCGCCGGTTATTGAAGTATCCTACATGATCCACATATTCGGCGGCTGTTGCTGCGCGCCTGCGGGGTACTGCACGGCGGCAAAAGGCTGCGGTGTTGGCGCGCGGCATGTTTCTGTTCATTAGGTGGTAGTTGGAATGATGTTATCGTATTGTCCCTTTCTGATATGCTACGCCGTGCGGTCTAAATACGCCCTCCCCCCGTCTGGGCTGCGGCTGGCGCTCATCGGTGCACTTTCTTCCCCGTGTTGCATGTCCACGCGGTGGCCGATGAGTTCTGGTGCAGGCGAGACGTGCATGGCACTTCCTGGTCATGGCCTCGTGGCGGGCTGATGTTGCGCATGCCCAGTGGTCCTAGGTTGCGACAAAACGCAGCATCGCGACAAATCACGGCTGGAGCTCAGGCCCCATCCTTGTGCTGCAGTTCTCGAGCCAGATCGACCTGCGATGGTCTCGGACCCGAACTCGGACGGAAACGCTCAGTGTGCCAAAAAATTGCAACGCCCGGATCTCAATGTTCCGCGCTTCGGGTGTGGCGGCGTACGGGGGCGTGTGGCGGGGCTGGGACAGGGATACGTCAAAGCGTTCCAGAACTTTCGCGGAGCGGAAGGTCGCGGCGCCCCGCACATCTTCCAGAGCCGTTGGACCTCAGAAATGACCAGTTCATCATTGCCCGGTTTTGTCCTTGTCTTGGTTTCGTCTTCTTAGGGGGGGGCGTCCTTGCGGGTCGGCGTGGCGGGCAAAAAGGGTTTCGTCGTCGTGTTCACTCGCAGGTGCAGGGCCTCGTTCTGGTGTCCTTCATCACCGTCGCGGTGTGCCTCCTCGTCGCGTGGCTTCTGGCGGGGTTCTGGGTGAGATGTATAACCGAGCTCTTGAAAAGCATGTCGCGGTCCAAACCGAATCTCCCCCCTAGCTTCCCCCTCCCCTCCTCCTCCCCCCCCCTCACCCCCCCTCACCCCTCCCCTCCTACTCCTCCTAGCCCTAGTCCCTAGTCCTCCCGCGCGAGAGGGGGGCCTCGCGCGGCCGCCAAGGAAGCAGCAGCTCAGCCTGACCGCGCGGGGCATCAGGCCGAGGGACCCCGCCGCCCACGTGGATGCGCCCCTGCCTGTCGTTGGCAGCGCCGCTGGGCTGCCGCAGGCGGCGTGGTCGCCCTCGTCGCCGAGGGCTGCTGCATCCCATCGGAGGGGGGCGTCAGCTGTCCGCACGTTCACGCACACACTCTGTGCGTCGGCGGCTAGGCAGGGTAACTGCGCTGGCGGAGGGCTACCTGAACAGGGATACCGTTGTAGCGAATTGTGCCACCATGCAGGAGGGAGGGGACAAGCAGAGGACGTTCACGCACACACCTCGGCGGCGCGCCGACCTTCAGGTCCAGGCGCAGCAGTTTGGGATAGCCTCCACATCGCGACGCGGTTTGGAAGGCAGGAGAGTCACTAGGGCAGGCCTGCGGATGGCCTCCTGGCCTCTCGGGGCCTCTTTGACATCGGTCGCCCAACGACGGCGCGGGAGCGTCGACCCATCGTTGCGGCGGAACGTGTCCGCAGAGATGTTCCGCACCTGGCGTTTTCGCCCAGCTTTGGGCCTCGGAGCCATCACAGTTCGATCTGGCTCGAAATTGCTGCAGAAACATTGGTTTGGGGCTCTGGTCGCGATTTTCCGCGAGATTAATTTTTGTTTATCGCAACGTTGGATCTCAGGGGAAGGGGGAAGCGAGAGGGGCAAGCTTTCTCGGAAAGCAGCGGGGCTTCCCAGAAGCCCCCCAGCCTTCTGGAGCGCGTGGATGCTTTTCGCCCGGGTTGGCTTTCGCCCAGTTCGTGTCGCCCGGTTCGTTTCGCCCGGGTTTGTTTTCGCCCGGTTGGCTTTCGCCCAGGTTTGTTTTCGCCCGGTTGGCTTTCGCCTGGGTTATGAATTCGCTTTCGCCCGGGTTGGCTTTCGCCCGCGAGTTGGCTTTCGCCCGGCAGTGTTCGCTTTCGCCCAGGTCCGCTTTCGCCCGGGTAGGCTTTCGCCCGGTGGGCGTTCGCCCCGGTTGGGCCCAGGTTGGTTTTCGCCCGGGCTGGCTTTCGCCTGGCTGCTGCATGCTGCTTTTCCTCTTCCTCCTCTCCTCCTCCGGCTCCTCTTGCCCGCGGCCGGTTGGCTGGAGCTCAGCTGCGTTCCCGCAACAGCACTTGAAGTACAACCCCCCGCCTTCTTCCCAGACGGCCTGACCTACACATGGCCCCCCTGAGGCCCAGCATGGTCAGTCAGGGAGGACGGGGAGCCCGCCCGACCCGACCCGCCCGTTAGGGGTCACGCGTGCTCACTCGAGCGTGCCCCACACTTTGGTGTCCCGCCCGACCCGTCCCGACCCGCCCGTTAGACGTTAGGGCCCGCCCGCGGCGAAACGAAGTTTGGCGAAACGAAGCCCGGCGAAAGCCAACCCCGGCGAAACGCATCCGTGACCTTTGGAGCCCTCTGCGGTTTCGGAGAAGGTTCAGAGAGCTTCGCAGAAGGGCGCAGGCTTTCTTAGCCTTCTGAGAGCGCCCGCCCCCTCTGCCATCCCCCCTGGGCGCGCCGCCAAGCCTGTTTGGCAGCGCCAGCAGCATGCCAGGCGCCAGCGAAGAGATGGTGAGAGCCCGAGCTCAGGCACCGCTCGTTGCTCCAGCGTATAGACCTGTGCCAGCCAAGAACAAACGACCGCGCGCGCACGCGACAGCGCACGTACGCCCTTTCGCATCCACAGTCCGGCGCGCGGCGGCACTGGCGGCAGGGATCCAACGCGCGGTGGCGGGGGCACGTTCAGCATGCAGAATTGAAAGTTGACTCCTAAGCCGCTCCTCCCCATCAGCCATGCTCGGTCGAGCAGAGCGGATAGACACCATGAGTGCCCCAGAGAGCACAGCGGCACACGTGCACACACGCTTCTTGCCTGACGAAGGCGCCCTAACTCAGACGCCATGTCCACCGCATTACCGATTCGGCGCCACCCAGCCCGATCTGGTATCGGCGGGCTTCGCCACGCGGACCTCTGAACTCGACAAGTCTACCACGCCAGAGATGACGAAGTGCACGTCGTGGCAGCGCCCGAGACATTCGCAGAACCGGGTCCGCCCCCGCCCTCCAGCAACCAGAGCCGCGAGCGGACAGGAAATCTGCAACACACGGTCGGCGCGCGACCACTCCACGCGGGAGGCCCCGTCCCGCAGCGCCGCCACGCCGCCGCCCACGCGCTTCGAGTGTATGGCATCGGCCGGCTCGCCTGCCGGCCCGAGCGCGTGTTGGCCCACGCACACGCGACTTCCCGGACGGGCACACGCCCACACCCATGGGTCGGGGGAGGATCCATGCCGCCGCCTTGGCCTCGTTTTCCCCTTTGTCGGGCCTCCTGGGAGGCCCTCGTCGCCACGGCTGGATTCGCCTCGAAATCTTGGTCAGCACACATTATTTTCAGCCACGAGACGGGCGTGGGGGAAGGGGGAAGGCTTCTGAAAGACACCCCTGCTTCTTAGAAGGCGCGGGCCTCATCCATAGATGCAGGGCCGGCGCCTTCTGAGAAGCGGCCCCTTTCTAAGAAGCCATCCCCCCCAAAACTAAAAACCCTCGTGCGCGCCGCCAAAACACGCGCCCACACCCACAAGGGGGTCGGAGGGAGGGGGACTGGCTATCTAGCATGGGGGATTCGAGTCCTGAGGGGCACGGGTCCTGGACCCCAGGACCTTCGCCCAGGACGAGATCTTCATCCTGAGTGTTTTTCCGAAAGCCCTGGGCCGCGTGGATGGCCCCGAGAGGCTATGGGCATGGGTGCGGGCTGTCGGACCCCCGGGGGAGGCACCCAGTGCGAGCGGGGACCCCCATACGACGACACGCAGCCATAGGCCCCCCGCGCCAGCCCAGTGGCGTCACCGCAGCGAGAGCTATAGAGCGGGCAGCAGACCAGCACGCACTCCGCGCGGCTCCGCTGGTGGATGGCTGCGCCAGGCGCGCGGGCGGGCGAGGAGGAGGTCCCGATCTAGTGTGAGGCCTGGCAGACATAACACGCGCAAACACACACACACACACACACACACACACACACACACACGCACGCACGCACGCACGCACGCACGCACGCACGCACGCACGCACGCACGCACGCACACACACACACACACACACACACACACACTAGTTTTGCGTCGGCGGCTAGGCAGAGCGACTGCGCTGGCGGAAAGAACATCTGCACGGCATAGAAATGCGAATTGAGCCGAGATGCATGTGGGGAGGGAACGAGGAAGGCCCGGCGCGGGCGGCAGGGAGATGAGGCCGGGCCCGCTCAGAGCGGGGCCAGGCGGCGGCGGGGGGGCGCCGGGGCCAGGGGCAAGCAGCGGCGGCGGGGCAGCAGCTGGGGGGGTAGCGGCCAGGCTGGCCGCCAGGGCACGCCTAGGGGGGGGGAGCGACAGGTCCAGCGCGAGCTGGAGGCGGAAACAGCACAGCGAGGTGGCCAGGGGTGCCGAGGTCAGGGTGACCTACGAGGCAACCTGGGGAAGACCGATGGGAGCGAAGGCAGCGGGCAGCGGGAGCCCAGGGTGCCGAGGCCACATGTGACCTACGAGGCGACCAGGGAGCGCGACAAGGACGAGGCCACCCCCAAGCCAGCGGGGTAGCGACGTGCAGCGGCCCACCAGCCAGTGAGCGGCGGGCGAGGCCCGGGAAGCAAGGTCGCGACTTCCACTGAGGCAGCACGAGACCGCCTGGTCAGGACGGCAGGAGCGGGGGGGGCGGCCAGGGCGGAGACGTGCCGGGGGCGGGGGGGGGGGCGGCCAGGGCGGAGACGTGCCAGGCGCCGAGGTCAAGCGTGACTTACGACCTGGGCCGGGACAACAGACCCGAAGTGGGAGGCAGAGCGGGGAGGAGGCGCTAGGCAACGCCCGGGGAGGCAGGCACAGCGAAGCCAGCCCCACGGATGCGAGCCGGGAGGGCGGTAGGAGGTCACGGGTGACCTGCAAAGCAGCTGAGGCGAAACGACTAAGCCCGCCGGCGATGGGATTGGCCCGTGAGTCAGGCAGGCCGTCATGCGAGCGACGGGTGCCTGCCCGGGGGAGGCAGACCCGCGGGGCGGGCGGGAAGAGGGGGGCAGGGATGCCGAGGCCCATCGGTGGCCTGCCAAGCACCCACCGGCCCCAAGCGGGGGCCTGGGTGGGCTGGCCTGAAAACCAGGCAAGGGCGGTGAGGCGCAAGACCAGCACCTCGGAAAACAGTGAAGGGGCAGCCAGGGGAGGAGGCGGCCGGCGAGGCCCGGCGTCAAAATCCTGCAGAAGGCCGGCGGTCCAACCTGCACAGCAGAGCCGAACAAGGGATGCAACGGCGGAGACAGGGGCCTCCTCCCGGGGGCGGCAGGGTGGGGCGGACGCAACGGCGGAGCCCAATCCCCGCGGCTTGGGCGGGGCGCAATGGCGGAAGGGAGCGACAGGGCGCGCGCCAGGAGCGGGCGGCAAGACCAGCCCACCCGGCGCCGAGGCTGGTGCGAACACCCTGAGGACGGGGCACGGGCGCACGGGCCCCAAAGCAAGGGTTGACTCAGCGGTCGATCCTCACCTCCAGGGAGCGCAAGGGAGTGACCAGCGGTAGACAGCATTGCGGAGGCCCTCGCAGAAACCGGGGCGCGACACACACACACACACACACACACACACACACACACACACACACACACACGCAAACACACGCAAACACAAGCACACACACACACTTGTTCCTCTGACGCACATACGCACACACACACACACACTTTTGTTGGCGGCGGCTCGGAGCCAAGACGCGGTCAAGGCATGGCGTGGGTTACGCGGCAGGCGAATGCGGCACACGGAAGACCAACGAAAGGAGATGGGCGCGCGGGGAGCGGCGGCCGCATTCAGAACATGTAGTGCTTGTGCGGGTGCCGGGAGCGCACGACGAGGTGCAGGGCATGCATGGCGAGGTGGATGTCCAGGAGCCCGAGCGTGAAGGCCGGAGCCAGGTTCACAGGACGCGATGCGATAGCAATCAGTTGAAACCTCCACACATGACGTCAGGGGGACCAGGTGAAGACCACAGCACGGGGCGAAAGGTCCAAGCCGCCATGGCATCGAGAGGTTCGTGCAATGAGAACTCCACGAAGCGCGCACACACAAGTTTCTTCCAACGCACCAACGACTACAATCGACGGGACAGTAGTGGCGGGACACGCTGGAAGCTAACTGGCCACCTCTGGTGGAAACGTGGGCAAAACCGTTGCCCGCGGCGACTGGCCGGACGGTTCAGCCAGGCGGGTGCAGAAGGAGGAGGAGGAGGAGGAGGAGTGGGAGGAGGAGGAGGAGGAGGAGGAGGAGGAGGAGGAGGAGGAGGAGGCTCGGGACAAAACAAATCGCACGCACACGCATTGACACACACATACACACGACACACGACACACGACACACGACACACGACACATACACACACACACACACATTCACGCACAAACACACACACACACACACTCGCTCACACACACACACACACACACACACTCACACACACACACACTTTCTCGTCTGACGCGCCAAGCAGTCGCTTTGGCGGAGTACCACACACACACCGATCTGGGTAAGCGCCATCAGTTGGCCAAGGGTTGGTGTACGTGTCTGTCTGGCTAGGCCGCGGGGCGTATCCACCGGTCCTGGGCCCAGGCTGGGCCAGGCCAGGAGCGGAGCTCGCGGGCAGCTGGCGCCCCCCGAACCCATGCGAGTGATACCATGGCTGCCACAGTGCCGGGGCTGCCGCTGTCGGCGGCGCGGGAGAGCCCCAGCGTGGTTGCTCCGGCCGTGAAGGTGTTGCTTGTGAGGAAGAGGAGGGGAGCAGGAGGAGGAGGAGGAGGAGGAGGAGGAGGAGGAGGAGGAGGGGGAGGAGAAGGAGGGGGAGGAGGAGGAGGAGGAGGAGGAGGAGGAGGAGGAGGAGGAGGAGGAGGAGGAGGAGGAGGAGGAGGAGGAGGAGGAGGAGGAGGGGAGGAGGGGGAGGAGGAGGAGGAGGAGGAGGAGGAGGAGGAGGAGGAGGAGGAGGAGGAGGAGGAGGAGGAGGAGGAGGAGGAGGAGGAGGAGGAGGAGGAGGAGGAGGGAGGAGGAGGAGGAGGAGGAGGAGGAGGAGGAGGAGGAGGAGGAGGAGGAGGAGGAGGAGGAGGAGAGGAGGAGGAGGAGGAGAGGAGGAGGAGGAGGAGGAGGAGGAGGAGGAGGAGGAGGAGGAGGAGGAGGTGTTGCTTGTGAGGTGAGGAGGAGGAGGAGGGGGAGCAGCAGCAGCAGCAGCAGCAGCAGCAGCTGCAGCAGCAGCAGCAGCAGCAGAAAGGTGCCCCGTCCTGGTCCTTTCCCGTCCAGGGTGTCTGGGTGCCGTCAGGGGATGGCCGTGGGATTTTTTCTGGGAGTCGTTTGGCGCCGTCGCGGACAGCTTTCGGCCAGCTCCAGATCGAATTCGGAGACGAAAATGTTTAACTATGCAGCTGGAACAAGACAATCCTGTCACATGATTGCCAGCTGTTACCCTAGCAATGCATTGTCGCCTTCGCGATGTGCGAACTACGTAATCAGCGCAGCATGCCCACGTTGAAACATAAGATGCACCGTGTATGCTGCAGTCTTGCGAAGTGCAGCCCGTGCATCTGGCACCAACTAGCGGGCACAAGGGCGGCAACCAGAAATCGCGACAACTGGGCATTAGCCAAAGGGCAGCACCCAAAAGGACCGCTCATGGGGCACCGGGGCTGCAACCAGAGATCGCAAAGTATTGGGGCAACATGGGGCACCAGGTATAGGGCATCATCCAAGGCCACCGGGGCGGCAACTAGAAATCGCCACGGTTTGGAGCAGCACAGGGCACCAGTCATGCGCAAGAGGGCGGCAGCCAGGAATCACAGCAAATGGTCCAGCATAGTGCGGCGTCCATTAGGCGTCGCTCACAGAGCAGCTGAACGGCAACCAGCGATCGCAACACACTGGGGCAGCATAGGGCACCACCCAAGGGCACCAGGACGGCACCTAGAAATCGTCACGGATTCTGGCAGCATAGGCCACCAGCCATAGGACAAGAGGTCAGCCATAGTGCGGCGTCGATTGGACACCATTCATAGAGCATCGGGGCGGCAACCAGAGATCGCGATATTGGCGCAGTATGGGGCACCAGGCATAGGGCACCTTCTTATAGGACCAAGGCGGCAACCAGAAATTGCAGCAAACGGTGCATCACAGGGCGGCCTCGATTGGGCACCATTCATAGAGCACCAGGGCGGTAACCATAAATCGCAGCAGATGGGGCATCAAAGGGCACAACCGAAAGGCACCAGGGCGGTAACCAGAAATCGCAGCGAAAGCTCACAAAGCCTTCCGAATCAAGCAAGAAACCCTAGGCGCAAACATCACGCGGGGAGCACACATAGATTGATTAGCGACCCGACACAAGTGAAGTCGCCACTGGGAAGGCTGAGTCGCGGGCGCTCCAGAAGGGCCCAAGACGACTCAAGAGGGGCCCAGGACGGACCCAGACGGCCCAAAGACGGCTCAAGATGGCTTCAAAGAGCGCCACAACGGCTCAAGAGAGCGCTTGAAGGACACCGAAGAGACCAAACAGTAGATCGTTTCGCACACATTGTGGCCTCCTCGCCTTTCCCGTTCAATTCAGCTCCAACGGGCCCGCCTCAGAGCCCAAGAGAGATCATGAGGGCCCCCCGAGGGACTCAAGATGGTCCTCAGACGGCTCAAGACGGCCTCGAGAAAGCCTAAAGATGAGCCAGGTGGGACCTTGGTCGGGCTCAGGACGGCCCCCGGAGGCCCCAAGACGACTCAAGAGGACCTCTGGAGCGCTTCCAGTCGCCTTTTGGGAGGCAAGGTGCGATGGCAAATACAGGCCACTAAGACAGCGCACGCACGTGCACCCGCGCCCAGAACGTCGCGCAGACCCATGGAACCCTGACCACATCAACCAGAGCGGAGGACTCAGACCCCAAGGAGCCCCGACCACCTCCAAAACCATGGGATGGGACCCACGATGGGCGGCGATTCATATCACTGGGGAGGGCGCCCTGGATCAATACTTGTTGTTCGCCCTCATGTTCGAGTCTGGCTCTAGCGTGGTGGAGACTTGTGTAGCACGTGAAACACAGAGCATTGTCAGTTTAAGCGGCCCTCACGTCTTGTCGAGCTCCTCTTCGAGCCGCCTGAAAGGAGACTCCGCCAGTGATAAGAGAGCTCTGCGAGCGAATCGCGGAGAAGGCGATCCAGAAGTTCAAGACCACCCGTGAGGCTCGGTGCATAGCGGGGTCTGCAGCCAGGGGAAGTTGAGGCGGTTTAGGTTCCATTGTAAACGAAGAGTTGGATCCAATGTCACTTTGTTGGATTCGCACATTTGCTAGAGCGGACGAGGGCATGAGGCATGAGCGCCGTCAGCTACCGAAAGACGGCTTCCACGAGCAGTAGCAAGAGCCGCGACAGCAATGATTACATCGGAGTTGATATCGACATCATTCGTTTAGCGCACGCGAATGCGATTCCAGCAGTATCGGTTGCGGCAATGGAAGAGCGATGAGGGTAGCGCAATGGTAGAAACAGTACAGTTAAGATGTTGGCATGGGGACCGTTTGGGGCTAAGGAGGAGCTCAGTTTTTCGGGCCGTTCCTTAAGTCTAGGTCAGGGAACCTATTCGTGACTGAGGCTCGGCGTGGCCAGAAAACACCCTTCGCCCCTTATTCAGCATTCCCTGTGCTAGCGCGATGGCTCTAGCAACACCAGTGGGCCTGCCTGGCTGCAGGAATCAGCAACATTTTGCGAGAGTGCAACAGCAGCTGTCGACGCCGCGGGGACGGCAGCATTGGCAGCAACAGCACTTGCAATCGCGAATTGCAGCAGTAATAGCAGCAGCGGCAGTAGCCGAGGCACCAATGCCATAAAGTACAGATCAGCATTCAGAGCGGGCAGTCACAGCGGAATCGATGACGACTGCGGTTGGCAGCTCCAACCAGACCAGCAGGCGTTTCGCTTCATCGACGCAGACCACGATGGTTTCATTGACCGCAGCGAGATGAGGCATTTCTTCCGCGCGTACGATTACGGGCCCGACGTCGCTGACAGTCTGTTCGATTATTTGGACCAGGATTGCTTGCTTGTCCGTTTCTTTCTCTTCTGAAAGCTCACCTCACGTCACGGGTATCCACCCGCCTGCGGCAAACCCCGCCACCGTGCCAGCGCAGCAGAGCGGTGTGAAGGAGGTTCGGTCACGGCAGTCCAGCGCGCGGTCTGGATTCGAGCGGGTCTCAAAGTCGACCTCGTTCCCTCGACTCTGGGAGCGGGGGAGGAGGGCCTCTCGGGGGCCTCCTGGGGCATCGTGGGGGCGGACGCCTTCGGAGACCGTCTTGGGGCCTCCCTGGGCCGTGCTGGGACCATCTTGATGTGATTTTGGGCCGTCGGCCGTCTTGGCGGTCTCTTGGGGCAATATTTGGGCCCTCTTGGGGCCGTCGTGGGGGCCTCTTGGGCCGCTTGCGGGCCCTCTCGGCCCGTTGTGGAAGCATCTGGAACCGTCTTGGGCTGTCGGAGGCCCAAAACGGCGGGAGCGCGAAACCAATTGAAACGCAGCACTCAAGTCCATGATGTGCATTTCTTCGGGCCCTCCTTGAGGGCCTCGTGGAGCCGTCTTGGGTTGTATCGGGGGGCCTCTTGAGCCGCATTGGGGTTCTCGTAGCCCGTCTGACGCCGTCGGAGGCCGCCTTGGAGGCCCCTCTGGGCCGTCTTGAAACCGTCTCGGGATGTTTCCGGGACGTCTTGGATATCTCCCGGGCCGTTTTAGGGCCCCCCACGCCTTTGGGGCGGGCCGTCTTGACCCGTCTTGGGGGCCTTTATGGCCCTCTTAGGCTGTCGGATGTCCAAAATGGCGGGAGCGCGAAACCAATTGAAACACACACACACACACACACACACACACACAACAAATCCATGATTTGGGTGTCGTCGGGCCCTCGAGGGCATTTCGGAGCCCACTTTAGGCTGCCTCCGGGGACCTTGGGCCATCTTAGGGCTCTCTTGGCCCGTCTAACGCCTTCGAAGGCCGCCGTGGGAGGTTCCCTGTGCTTCGTGAGACCCTCTCGGGGTGCTTTCGGGCTGCCTTAGGGGATCCCTTTGGCCATCTTGGGAGCATGTTGGGCCATCTTGGGGCCCTCTTTCGGCAGCGAGCCCGGGGGGAAGTGAGAAGGGGCGGGCCCTCTCAGAAGGTTGGGAAGTCCCCGGGCCTTCTGAGAAGTTCTCTAAGCCTTCCCCGAAGAGACAGAACTTCTCAGAAGGCGCGAGGGCTTCTGAGAAGTCACGCCGCCTTCTAAGAGCGCATTGTCCTTATGATTTCCCCCACTCGCATGCCGCCGACTCTTGTCCCGTCTTGGAGGCCTATGGCCGGGCTGTCGGAAGCCCGCAGGAGCGGGAACGCGAAATCCATTGAACGCCATAAGAGAAATCAGTGGTTTTGGCTTTGGCTTCCTCGAGGGCCTCTTGGAGCCCTCTTGGGCTGTATCGCGGGCCCCTTGGGCCATCCGGAGCTGTATTCGAGGCATCTTGGACCAGTTTGGGGGCATATTGAGGCCATCTTGAATTGTCTTAGCTGTCGTGGATCGTCGTTGCTGTCTCGGAGACCAACGAGGGCGCCAGAAAGCAGAAACAAAGGAAAGCGGTATTCGCACAGCGACGAGAGGGGGTTGGCCCTATAAGGCACGTCAGAAGTGATGGAAAGAGTGCCAGCGAGAGAAATTCTGTACAAGGCTTTAGCCCCAATGAGGGGAGTCCGAGCGGGGGGGGGGCGAGGCGGACCGCGACTGACGGAAAGAGCGCTAGCAAGAGAAGTTTTGCGCAGGGCTCTAGCCCCAAGGGGGGGGTCCGGGGGGGAGGGACCGCACCGATTTTTCTAACACGCTCTCCAGGGGCCACGTCGGCTGCTTTTTTGGCCCAGGATGCTCCAGGAAACACCCCAAGAGGCTCCCAAGACTGCTTCAGATATTTCCAAGACGGTCCAAGAGACGCCCCAGAGGCCCCAAGACGACCCAAGAGCGCTCCAGACCGCCAAGAGGGACTCAGGAGGGAAGAACCATTGATTTTCGACCAGCTTTTGAATGATTTGGGGGTTCTTGTTTTTTCGTGCCACAAGCGGCCACAGACGGCCCTGGAGGCCCTCCAGGATCGCCCAAAGACGCTCCCAGAGGCTCTCCCAGAGGGCTTCAAGACGGCCCAAGAGCGCCTCAAGATGGCCCAAGAGGGCCCCAAGACGGCACAAGGAAGGCTCCACAGAGCCCCAAACGGCTCCCATTGCAAGTTGGCCGAAGCCCCCCCAGGACGGTCAAAGAGGGCCCCGGCACGGCCGAAGAGAGCTCCAAAGCAGCCCATCAGACCCCCTAAGAGGCCCTCAAGATGCTTGTAAGAGGCCCACTGTGAGCGAACAGTGATGTAAAGAACATTGGATGTCGATGATCCCGACAGCGAACGGTGACACAGAAAGCTCTGATCACCACGGCCGCCAAGAGCTCACAGCGACGCAGAACGCTTGGTTCGCCAAGGCTCCCAAGAGCCATCTTGTGCGATATTGGGGCCGCCACGCACGACGAAGCGCTCTTGCCGTTTCCGTGTCGGCCAAGGTTTCCACCAGATAACAGAAGAGCAGCGCAACACGCCCCAGCGTGCCGCTGGCACGGTGGCGGATATGCAGGCATGTGCCAGGGAAACAGGTCGCGACGAGTGCGCTGAGGTGGGCAGTGCCAAGTCCAGGGAGGTAAGGAAGGTCCAAAGGCTGGGTTTCCGGATACATTTCAGCACGTGCCAGAATGTGTTGCACGAAGACCCGCAAAAGTATTCCCGTCGGTGGAAGTGGACGTTTTCCATTGTGCGCGCTCCGAGTGGCCAGCTCAGGAGTCTGGCCGAAGGTGTCTCCGGCTTTTGGGGCTGCTGTGCAGGCTTGCGGTCCCTTCTGGGCTCCGTCTGGGCCGCTCGAGAGCCTCCTTGGCGCTCCCCGCCATCAGAGCTCCCTCATCAAGCGCGCCCTGTCCTGCCTGCCCGAGATCCTCCCCAACTCTTCAGGGTACATCTCGATCCGATCGATCCGATTCGACGTCGGTTTCGGCCATTCCGATCTGGTTCCGTTCCGATGTTCCGACGATCTGATGCGGCCCTCCCCGGCGCTCCCAGGCGCTCCCGGCGCGTTCCGAAGCGCTCCCAAGCGCTCCCAGGCGCTCCCTGGCGATCCCAGGCGCTCCCAGGCGCTCCCAGGCGCTCCCAGGCGCTCCCAGGCGCTCCCGGCGCGTTCCCAGGCGCTCCCATGCGTGTATGGCGCTGTTGGTTTTCGCGCAGCCACTCCGATTCGACCTCGATTACTTGCCGACATACCCCGACCCGACGCACAGTCCGGTTCGGTCCGGCTTCCCGATGCTGGCTGATCCTGCGCTTCCACGCCGTATTCCCATCCCGCCTGTCTCCCTCTACGTATTTTCGTGCTCTTCTTGCTGCTGCAGGCTCCGGTGCCCAGGGGGAACACTCCTCTTATCTAGTGGATTGGGTTGGGTGGGTTGGGGATGGTTGGAGATTGCTCTTCTCCTTCCCCTCCTCCTCCTCCTCCTCCTCCTCCTCCTCCTCCTCCTCTTCCTCCTCATCCCCCTTCTCCTACAACTCTTCCCTGCCTCGCCGCCTCAGTCCCCCCGTCTACTCTTATCCGCAGCCCGTGCCCGCGCAAGCCTCCCCCCGGGCTCCCGCCTCATCTGGGGAGCCACTGCCTAGCGAGGAGGGCAACGAGGAGATCGACCACAACACCTTCTTCAGGCTTCGAGTAGGAAGTCGATTACAGAATCGATTTACTCCAAAATCGAAATGTTCGTCGAATCTATGATGAGTAAGTCGAACTTTCGTATCAGATCTACGAGCATTCTATAGACATGCTCTTTGTAGATCCGGCGAAAAAAACATGTCCGGGGTAGATCGGTTTTGCAGTCGATCGCCTACTCGAAGGCTGCTGACCCCGTTCTTCAACGGCTGCAGGCCCGCGTCGACGGCGTCCATCACCATGATGTCTCCTCCGTCCCCGCGCGAGTCGCCCCGCCCGTCGCCGGAGGCGGGCGGCCCCCCGGGGCAGGGAGCGAGGCGGCACGGGGAGAGGCGAGTCGGGGGAGGTGGGCCGCGCAAGCGAGGCCGGACTGCACCGTATCACGGAAGCGCAAGCATGGGTTACGGTCAGACCGAGGTACGAAGAGGAGGAGGAGGGGGAGGAGGGACAAGGGTTGGAGGAGGAGGAGGAGGAGGAGGAGGAGGAGGAGGAGGAGGAGGAGGAGGAGGAGGAGGAGGAGGGGGAGGGGGAGGGGGAGGGCGGAGGAGGAGAGCGGAGGAGGAGGACCAGGAGAGCGGAGGAGCAGGAGGAGGAGAAAATACGCTCCGCGAGCAAGCAAGGCGGCCGCAGAGCGGCTGCTTCGGCGGCTGCGCCTGGGTAGAGGTCGGTTCGAGGAGGGTATCTTGATATGCGTAAGGGCTGCGCCCTCTGCCGCCAGCCCCCTCTCCGTCTGAATTGGATGTATCAGAGCTCTACTGGGATGTGGGGGACCCAGCTTGAAGACATTTGGGAGCATCATGTGGCGTAATTTGCATGGGATCGCGGCCTCGGGGGCGCGACTGTGGCGTAAGTTGCAAGAGATCGTGGCCTCGGGGGGCGAACGTGGGGTAATTTACCAGGGATCGTGGCCACGGGGGCGCCAACGTAGCGTAATGTACGGGCGCGATTGTGACGTAATTTGCAGGAGATCGTGGCCACGGGGGCGCTGGCCTCGGGGGCGCGATTGTGGCGTACTCGATCAGAGATCGTGGCCTCGGGGGCGCGAATCTCAGGTATCTTTGCGTGTCCCACTGAGAACCCTCCTGGGGGGTGGTAACCAGGGTCCTTTCCGGCTACACCCCCTCGCGCGGACAGCAACAATTTACAATGGGAAGCAGAAAGCAGCATTGTAACATTGGAAATTGAAGACTGGAACTGGTGCAGGGAGCAGGACACCTCCGCCAGGCAGCCTGATGGCCCCGCAAGGGGGCCGGCGGATTCTTCCTGTCTGTTGGATGTTTTTTTGTGCACCCTTTGGGGAGGGTACCCTTGGACGTTCTGTGTGTTTTGGCCGACGGAGGGCCTCGTGTTCTGGAGGGATGCCCTTCTGCCCCAGGTTCGACTGCAAGGCGCGTGGAACAGCGACGGGCCTTGCTTCCAGACGAGTGACGGGAGCGTCTTCGAGGTACGAGAAGCGAGTTGGACGTTGTGGCTGACTCTGCCAGATATTTAAACATCTCTTACTAACAGGGGGTGGCGGGTTGCACGGGGGACAAGCTTAGCGCGGAGTCCTAAGAATAGCGATTTCGTTTGAGACATCCTCACAAAATGGAGATCTTCGCGACATCGCTCGCGCTTAGCAAAAACAAGCGTCTCGCTAGAGACATCCTCGAAAAGCCGATCGCCGCGAAATTCATGAAACGGTGAAAATTTGCACTTCGCCTGAGACATCCTAGCCAAAATGAGGTGTCGACGGAGGTGTATTACGACCCCTCATGTTGACAACTACGTTTTTGATCAGGACGTCCTCAGATAATGAGCGGCAGGGCGGCGGACCAGAAAAAAGAGCACGGCAGACAATTTGCATTTCGCGATGGACATCTTCAAAAAATTGCATGTTCTCAACATCGTCTTGACATCGTCCTTGGAGTGATTCATTATAAAGAATTGAGAACCCAAGAAGGACCTCAATATGGCTACAAGAGCGCCCTGATGGCTAATGAAAATGGCGATTTCGCTAGGGACTTCCTCAAAACATAAAAAATACAACAGCATGGTTTTGAAAACTGCTGTTCTAACATCGTCTTGGGATCGCTCTTGAAAATGCTTCCAGGCGGCCCAGGCCAAGCTTCTAAAAATGAAGATTTCGCTAGGGACGTCCTCGAAAAGAGACGTGTGCGACATCGCATTAGCATCGTTGTTGATGACATCGAGATGGCCCCGAACGAGCCACAAGCGAGCCCCAACATGACCCCAAGACCGCCCTCGAGATTCCTCAAAATGAAAATGTCGCTCGATACATCCTAAAGACATGAGTTGTTCGCAACACCGTCTTTCACAACAACGAGCACTTCGCCTGAGACATCCACCAGAAAATTAAAACCGCTAGTTTAACACACGTATGAAGATGGTGATGTCGCCGGAGACATCCTCGAAACAATGAGATGTTGAAAAGGCTGATTTCAGACCATGCATGTTCAAACAGAGCTTCTCGCCTGAGACATCTTCAGAAAATGGGCAGGATCACGGCAGCACAACACGCAGAAGCACGGCAGAACGCGAGAGAGCACGGCAGAACACGCATGAGCACGGCAGAACATACAGGAGCACAGCAGAACCCAATGTACATATTTGAGCACGGAAACACAAAGAGGAGCACAGCAGAACACACAGGAGCACGGCAGAACACACAGGAGCATCCGTAGCCATTTTGGCTCAAGCCTGCCTCGGGCGCGCGCGGGCGGGCTCGAGAAATGGCGGCGGCGGGCTGCCCCACGTTGTGGCGGCCTTCTTCTCGGCGCGCATTGGAGACCTTGCGCCTCGGCCCGCCGGCCGCTCGCCGAGCGGCCCGCGGCCGCGCGCGGGTGGCCGCCCGCGCTGAGTGCGCGCGGCTGCGGGGGGCGCTGGACCTGCGGGGCGCGGTGCGCGGGACCGACGGCGTCTCCGTCGAGGCCGCCCGCCGCGAGGAGCTGGCCAGGCCCTCCCTTTGGGCGCGGCTCCGCGGCGAGCCCGAGAGCGGGGCCAAGCGCCTGGTGCGCAACGTCTCGCTGCACGCGAGGCAGTGCCCGCAGGCAGGCGCTCCCCTTTCGGAGTGGAGGGCTGCGCAGCGCGGAGGCCGCCTGGATGGTGGAGCCGGCGCCGTTGCTGCTGGAGGCCCCATCGTCTGCGAGGTGGAGCTGTGCATCGGCGAGCCGCCCGTGGAGTTCCCGCCGGTGCAGCCCAGGCTACGCCGGGAGGCGGCCCCGTTCTGGCCGCGTCGACCACCGGGGCGGCGGGACTGGCCGGATGACGTCGACGCGCTGCTGGAAGGGCTGGGTGTGGTAGCCGACGGCGTTGTGCACAGCGAGCTGCCCGAGCACGACTCGGTGCATGATGCGAGCGTGGAGAGCGATGCCGGGGGCGGTGCTGCGGGCGCTGGGCCGCCGCCGCCACCGACAGCGTCTGCTCGCGGTATCTCGGGAGCGGACGGGTCTGCCGTGGGCCTGCTGGGAAGCGGTGCTGCGAGCGCTGGAGCGCCGCCGCCGCGGGCCCGCGCGGCTGGAGACGTCGTCGGAGGAGGGCGCCGCGTGGATAGCGACGGTGACGGGAGCCTGTTCGAACACGCAGGTGCCGCCCTCGGAGTGCAAGGGATCCCTGGAGGTACTGCTGGCCGTGTGCCGCTGCCTCCCGTCTCGGGACCTGGTTCCGTCAAGCTGGCCGAGCAGTTTGTCGAGTGCGGGCTGGAGCCCGACTCTGCCTCCGAGCCCGTGGCCGCGAGCGCGGCTGGGGTTGGCGCAGGCGCGCCCGAGGTAGCCACCGCCTGCTCGGCCAGCGCTGCGCCTGGATGCCGCGAGTCCGCCGTGCAGCAGTACCTGAGCAGGCATCCTGCGGCGATCCTACGTGGAGGCCGCGAGCCCACGGGCTCTCGCGGGGCGGCCTGGTGGCGTGCTCGGGAGGCGGTCGCCCGCGCCTGGCTCGAGGTACCAGCCGCGGGCGGGCATGCGGAGGCCGACGCGGGTGCTGCGGGGAGCTCGGGTTCGGATGCGGGTTCGTGCTCTAGTGGAGCGGACGCCGCCTCTGCCCGCGGCTGGGCTGCAAGCTACAGAAGTTTGATTTCGTCTTCGAGGGAGGCGGACTTCGAGGAGAAGGAGTTCGTCTCGGATGGCTGCGAGTACGGCTTCGATGACGGCCCCGTGGAGCAGACTTCGACGTTCTTGCCCGCATGAGGGCCAGCGACGAAGCTCGGCGGGCTGCCTAGGAAGCCCGCCTGAGGGCCTGGGATGAAGCTTGGGAGGCCTGCCTCGAGGAGTCGATCGAGGAGGAGCCCCAGGATTTCGCGGGCAGGAGCAACGGCGAGGAGCGCGGCGAGGCCGAGTCCCGAGCCGCCCTCGGAGCGCAGGAATCGCGAGAGGTGAGTGAGTGAGTGAGTTTGGCGTGCAGTTGCATTCGCTTGTAGATCTGTCTCGCCTCGGAAGGGGGGGGGGCGTCTGAGGGGGTGGCCCTTCCGCCTGCCCAGGCCCGCTGGGGCCGCCCCGTTTAGGTTTCGTAGGGATTTCCCCTTTTGCCTTGAAGGCCCCGTCTTTAACTTTAACTTTAACACACAGGAGCATGAGGAGCATGGCAGAACACACAGAATACATAGGAGCACGGCAGAACGCACAGGAGCACGGCAAAACGCGCAGGAGCGGCAGAGCACACAGAACACACAGGAGCACGGCAGAACAAAGAGGAGCACAGCAGAACACACAGGAGCAGGAGGAGCACGGCAGAAAACGGCAGAACAAGCAGAAGCGCGGCAGAGCACGCAGGAGCATGGTAGAGCACACAGGAGCACAAATCCGTAGCCATTTTGGCTCAAGCCAGCTCGGTTCAAGCTTGCTTGGGCGAGGGATGGTCACGGGGGGGGCCCTCTGCGGTTCCGCCGCTCGCGGCGCGAGCGAGACGAGGCGGCGCGGCGCGCCCGAGCGGCTGCTGATGCGGCCGTGCGGCGTGCCCTGGAGGCCGCTGGCGAGGCCCGGGCCCGCCTGCGCGCGGTGGAGGCCGCCCTCGACTTGCTCGTCGGCGTGCCTGGGCTGGCGGATCGGGCCCAGGCGGCAATCCCGGCACTGGCGGCGCTTGCGCGGGGGGGGGAGCCGACCTGGTTGGAGCGGCTACGGCGCAACGTGGCGCTCCATGCCGAGGCCGACGGGGTGCTGTCGATCACCTCCGCTTCGGCAGCACCCCTCAGGAAGGCCCAGAAGGGTCAACGCCTGGGGCCGCAGGAGAAGGGGGCCCGCAGTGTGGGGACCACGGCGCTTGCGTGTCCCGGCTAGGTGGCCTGGACATCGACG